CATTAATTAATTCATTAAAGTGCTTCACAATTCAGATTATAAACGATGGATAAACTAGGTTGTATAATTTCTCATAGTATAGTACCTACGTGAGGGTAACCGGATAATATGGTCAATTTCTAGTAACTCAAAAACAACAGCCTTGCATGCATATATGACTGTGAAATTATGGGTATGTTCCGAAATACAACGCAGTGTACTGTCCAATGCAAATGACGTCATGAATCGACGCTATACTGGTGATTCGTTCCAAAACATTGGACAGTATATGACGTCATACTTTTGCGCCATTTGTAAAAGTGTTGGCGATTATTTTGTCATTTTGTGCTCCAAAAATCATTATATCCTCCTAATGGCTATACCATCAATCATTCTATAATTTTTTGTATTTGAATAAATAGAAACAAATTCTGGCATGCTTCATTCGGCAAACACACAATTAAAAATTGTTTTATTATGGCCGGATATCCGACACAATATGGCGGCAGCACGCTAGTACAATAAAGTGTCAAATGATACGTCATTTGCATTGGACAGTACACTGCGTTGTATTTCGGAACATACCCTATAGCTCTTCATCGACGCCATTTTGACAGTTGACATTATAATAAATATTTTAATCGATTTTAGTATTGTGTAGTGTAGTTAGTTCTTTTTAGGTTGATTTTTCAAAACGTTCCCAATTATTGCCTAAGCTTGTTTGCTATTTTCTACTTAAAATATTCGTTATAGTATACGACTTTGTGTTTTCGTCTCCGTCCCCCTCCTAGTTTTGGTTTTATAGGGCGGCAAAGCTTAAGGACCCCAGCAAGATCTAGGGAGTGGGAGGATATTCTTACACCACCACCAGTCCACACAAATACCTAATTTTAAGCAAATGCAAAATATTAAATTATATTTCAGAAGTCCTACGTAATTGAACAACTTTTGTAGAAAGTTTGAAACTTATCTACTCGAACTCGATACGGTCATTAGCAAATACGACTTTAGCTTTAGAAAGTATAGAAAAGTTATTTGTAAATATATTATACCTAGTACAGCCATAAGTTTTGTTACACATTAAAATGATTATCCTAAAAGAAACAATGTGATGAGAATATTTAACTAATGTGTAAATAGTTATCTTAGTGTAACCTGTTAAGAACAATTTTATTTAGGTATAGTTTTGAATTTAATACAGTCCTTTGATATATCTAGTCTCGAAACTATGGATTTACGATCTTTATACAGAATTCAATCACAACTAGCTTTAAAGATTTCTTTGGAGACTCATTAACACATTGAGCAGATTGAGCAGGCCTACTTCTTTAATACTGTAAATTGTAGTCCTACGGGTTAAAACTTGGACTGGACGAGAGCCATATGAAATTCTTTACGCGTCCAAGTCTTTACTTCTTTCTCACAAAAATTCCCGATTAAAGGACATGGATGAAGCAGAACGATGACAAAATTGTCTTCTATAGAGCTGTAAATATCATTTTGCGTGCCTTTCAATCAATTTTTTCACCTGTAAGGCATGTTTTTGTGTATTCCACCAGCATATTAGGACAGCAAATTTTCGATCGATTACTCTCTTAAGTTACATTGATACCGTTAAGGACGTCTTGAGTTTCGACGGTAATCACCTTACTTCAGGTCTTGTTTAACATTTGCGATGCGATCCTTGCGAATATTTATTTCACGCGTTAACATTGTTTTGTTCCCTAAAAGAGTTTCGTCATATTCTGACTTAAACAGCGTTCAATGCCCATCTGGTCCTAAAAGCACGGGATCGCCATCTTTTATGGTCTTCGACAAAGGAATCGTTAATAATCCTGTTGATAGCGCGATAAACACAAACACGGCTGAAGACCAGCTTTAACGCGTCTTAACAATGACTGACGGCACCATACCTACTGTGTGAGAAGCTATCAACTGCAATTATGTGTTCTTTAATGCGCCACTTCCAAAATAATTTAACAACCATCAATACACGACATATAAAATAAAACGTGAAATGGCGGCAAATATCTTCGTCACGTTATAATGCCACTCTCCAATATGTTATTGGTATTAACACAATTGTATTGTTGTATGACTTTACAGCGTCGCCTGTTCGGACTCGCAAGCAAAGTCAATAATTATAAAAAGAAGGTCTAATTTCTGCATTATTTAAGTTTTTCCTGGTTTATGTTATAATTTTGTCTAGTTGTTTGTCTGTAAGACATACGGTCTTTCTGAGTTTTCAGTTTATACACTGTAATTGGACGTAGTTAAAACGGCAGTCTCGCGTGGTTAACACGCCTAGTTGGTTATTTGTGTATTCTATGTTTGCAAAGATGTATATATATATATAATATATATATATATAAAAATATATATGATAAAATGCTACATGTTTAATATTAGTAAAAATAATATACTTTAGAACAGCATAGCTTAAAATTTCAAATAATTCATCAATGTGAAGCTCGGATAGGTAAAAAAATCGTCCATATTCTGAAATAAATTATAATTTGCAAATGAATCACAAAAAACTTTTTTGCAAGACTCCGCATAGCTTTCAGTATCAGTGCTGTTTCGTATGGTGAGCAAATAATATAATAAAGCCCTAAGATGGCAAGCGACAAAAATTGTAGACCCTTTTTACTGCTAAAAAGGCATTTCTGCACAGTCCTCAGGCGTAATAACATATCAGCACTTAGCAACAGTAACGGTTTAATATATCTTTAAGAGATAGACATAAGTAATACATATGCTACATTTCATTATTTACTTGGATGATCGTGACGTCTTATTGGGGTTTTTGAAAAAAATGAAAGGGTGTACATAAAGATAGGCAGCAAGGAATGTTTGATAATTTTTTATCAAATATTAAATTTTGTTAGGATTATACTTGCTCAAGTTACTGGTAGAATCTGAATGAAAAAAGTTTTAATGTGTAACGTCAGCATTAAATAGAAACATGCGTATGTAGAATCTGTTGTCGAACTCGAACAGTGCTAATTGCAAGTGCGTCATTACGTCATTAAATTGAGTTACTATGTAATTACCACATCTCTAGTTTTGTCTTTCAATTTACAGATCGCATGCTAAAAATGGATGCCGGTTATCATTTCCGTCCAAAATTTTTGAAAATAATTCAGCTTTTATTATAGACCCGAAGACACACAGCCACATAGTATATAATATATATATACACAACCACAACCATCAGCCAAATTCAAACAAAGAAGGCAAGACTCCTACGCAGAACAGAACTCTAACTAGGTACCTCGTACATAAGTTACATAAAGTAATTGAAGTAAAAACAAGCACAATAAGTTACTTCGATAGCCGATCTGCCTATCAAACTTGGATATACGGCAAATCCTTATAACTTGGAAGAGGTCTATGTCAAGCTGTGGTCCGATGTTAATGAAACATAATAATAACATTTAATACATCAAACATAAAAGAAAGAGTATAATCTAATTGAAAAAAATATCTAAATCAAAGTCAAGGAAATATTTAGAATAAAATAATTGCCATTTTTTTTTAAAAATGCGTTCTTTTTTCTTAGTTTAATTGAGGTCAAGTGCCATACTGTAGAATAAAATGGAATACATTGATTACTTTGAAAATCAATGTAAAGTTACGTTTACTTGACTCGGTATCTATGATCGCTGTTATCGGTATCTATGTTTATATCCGTAAAATGTTTGTGTATATGATTGGTTGTGTTATTTTTATTCTCTTATGCTGCGTTAATTTTAACTTATTTTCAAGTACCGACGTCTTCTGTTCAAATTTCGGATTATTTGTTTTTGAGTCAAATGTTTTACAATACTTTTGATTGCGATGGATTACGATATTTAATTTGCAGATGTTTTATTTAACAGCTAACGAAGTTGTAGACGTATTTTTATCCTTTAGACTCACTGTAGCTTAATTCGACAAACTTCTTTAATAATACGTATTTGCAAAAAAAAATCGATTAAAAAAGAAGAAAACTTTGTATTTAATCTGTTTCATAAGAAGGGCATGAGCCCTGACATTATTAAAACAAACACAATTTTTAATTATTTGTGAAATAATGTCAGATTCTGAATGATTTGATCGATGATTTCATTTATTTTGAATTAATTAAACGGAAAGGCACGCATAAAATGTTTAGCTCTAAGGTCTAAATTTGAGAATAAAATGAATGAGGTTGAATTTTAAGAATAAAAGTGAGAGTAAATTCTTGAAGAATAAAACTGTAAGAATCATACCTTTGTCTCGATTTGTGATTAGCACTTATAGAAGGGAGTTAGGGTAACGAATTGGCAAATTGACAAAAATGCAACAAACAGAGCGAGCTGCACGTATGTACGAGTATAGCGATGGAAGAAATTCAGAACAAATCGCAACTTACACCGTATTCTGAATGATTAAATGCCTCCAACCTAGATCAATGGACTCATTTCTGATCACATTTAAAATAAACTTCACGTCAGTTTCTCTCGTCACTGTTTTCATTTTTTATTTTATTTATATAGACACGTATAAGACAATCTTTTGAGAATACGACTTGAAGTGACGCAATTTGATGGTAAAATAATAAAACGAAGTAGGTATAGTAGGTGTATTGTTATCGGCAGCGACCTTTCGTGCAGTGCTAGTGTATTAATTATGGAAACACTTGTACAATTTTAATATCGAACCTTGCAAACTAAAGAGTCGTGTTTTATCTACGTCTTGGCTTTTAGTACATTATTAAATGTAACTTTTTTTGTTTTGCTTCTAAATTAAATACTAACTTGATTGAAGGTTATTTATTTGTAGATAAGTAAGTCAATTGAAAATTATAAGGTATATCCACCTCTTTTTATTTATGAATAATGGTATTTCAGGAAAACACATCAGACTGACCAATTCCCTACATCTGTGTACACTTTAGATACCTATAATAATAATACACAAATAGGTATAGTGCGATTATATATCTAACCTAATATAAATTTACAGAGGATACACACATAAGGAAAGTCATAATTTGTTTATTGCGTTTGCGTTATACATTTATTTTGTATTCTCACCTGTGCTCTGTTAATGACGTCATGCGGTCCTCGCCATGTTGTTGCAGCTGGTGATTTTCTTTTTGCGAGTTCTAACGTAGCTTCACTTGGACATCGTTCAAACATGAGCACTCGTTCAGCCACAGATCCTCGCGTAAGGAAAGGTCGAACGGGCGCGGTACCCGATGCGGTGGCGGGCTCAACGGCGCCAGCGCTGGTTGCCCTTCGCGCTCGCGCCTCAAACTTGGACCGAGCCTCAGTAACATGCGAGCCAAGCGATGTACGTCGCTCTCCACTAGCGCCAGTTGAGGGCTTCCGCGCTCCCGTTTCCAGCCGATCCTGGTATCGACTTTTAGCGTAATCAACAAGCGAAATTGACGGCACTACGTCGGGGCGTTCTGCAGAACGTTCCGCCACTACCCCACCGGTCCGCAGTGCTCGTAATAGTCTTTCTTCTTCACGGGCAACTTCCAGCCGCATTGCTGCGGAGTCAGCCCTTCTTGAATTCACGCCACTAGTCGTACCGTTACGTTCCGGTACCAAGTCTGGTGGCAACGTCAACTCATTTGTTTCTCCCTCGGGCTCTGACCTTTGCTCACGTCTCGTCTCAAGTCGTTGGTCTCTCCTCACCTCAGTTCTTTGGTCCCGCACAACCTCCGGCCGTTGATCGCGTCTTAACTCTGGTCTTTGTTTTATTTCAGGCTTCGGCTCGGGTCGAGGTTTAGTTCGCAGGCTTTCTGCCAATTTTATTCCAGGCGCGGGCTTGCATGATAGTATTTCCGTAGGCGCGAGGCCACGAGCTTTCCACGTCTGGTAAATGGCTTCTGCATGATCTGAAATCTGTTTAGCGATGGCGGCGATATCCTCCTCGCCTGTGTCTATTTCACGGCGGGCCGTGGCCGCCATGGCCTAGTCGCTGACGGAGAGGCGTATCAAGAAGACACCTCTTGCCGCTATCTCTTCAGGGACGCGAACGCCCCATCGGCACACACCAGGGACACAAATAGTCACACTGACAATATCGCACTAATCGAAAACACACAGAACTGATAGAAAGAAATAACGGCACTGGAACGGTAAGGAAAGAGATCTATGCGAACAGCTGTTAGTACGGGCGCGTGTCGAACGATAAACAAAGGCTATTACGATCGCGAGTCACGATGCGGTAAACAGGCTGCGACGTGAGACAACGAGCCGACGGCGGCACTTGGCGCGGACTGCGGCGCGACGCTCGGGAGAGACGCGAGCGCCCCGCCGCGGCGTCCGACGCTCCCGGCCCACATGTCCTCCAAGCTCATTCACTTAGCACCTGATAAATTACAACTTCAACTACACCAATTACTAATGCTACACGGATAATGATCATAACCATATTGCGACTGCCATTTTAACAACCATAATATGCGATTTTGAAAGGAAACGTCCAATGTTTACATCATCCGAAAATAGCGATGCTGGCTTGGCCGTATTAATAACATCACACATGTTTTGATAAATGGTCTTGAAATAAAGGATTATAATTTATAATCAAAAATTATAATTTAAGGCAAAGCTTAATGGGAATTTCCGAAGATTTTCCACAAGAAATCCGTTTAAGTTAGCGAATTTTCTTAATAATTTTTGTTAAATCAGATTTAAAAACTGCTGTTCTACTGTTTATGCAGGAGCTGGGTATACCTACGTGAAATACTGTATTGAGAATAGGTTGCAATAAATTTTTATCGTGCAATATAGAATAGATATTCTATCTTTTCCCTTCTATAATATGGAATGGGTATGAGTATATTATTGAGTATTGTCACACATCTGCAACTACGCTCTATAGCGGTGGAGCAGACCACACCATACCCATAAAGCGTGTCTGAGAACGTTCCGCGCATGCGCGCAGTCGCCACGAATAGCGCGTGCCTCTGTGTTTATTTACGTTCCCTATTTTTTTAATCTCTGAAACGGTGCGGCCGGAACGACACGACACGTTGAACCACAACGAAAAGTTATTTGAAAAGTGGAAATTGCTTTTCTTGATGAGTGTACAATTTTGGCTTTCTTTTAGCTAAGAAAACTTAAAAAACACACTTTGATCATGAGCTGTGATGATTCTAGAGAGAATTATCCTGATGATCCTTATCAGGATACTAGGATGGGAGTTATTGAATTATTTTTTATTGTCACCGGCCCTCGATACGACCGCACATATTCAAGTCTATCGACCGTCTACGAGTTGGTGAAAATTACATTAAAATATTCCATTAGGTACATAGATAGATAGACATTTCTTTATATGGCAGAGTCGGAAAGGGACGTCCTAGGCGAAAATTTATCGACCAAATTGGCGATTTATTGAAAACGGGCCAAATTAGGAGTACCCTTAACCGACAAGCATGTAGGCGTAGGTATATGGATGTGCAGGAGGCGAGAGAGGTGTGTCAGGATCGTGCCAAATGGAAGTCTGTAGTCTCTGCCTACCCCTCTGGGTGACAGGCGTGAGTGTTTATGTTATGTTTATGTTTTTATAGATAGATAGATAGATTTAGGCTAAGATAATAAAAGCGGTTTTTTTTTATAGGACAGAGTGACAAACGAGCACGCAGTCCACCTGATGGTAAGTGGTTGCTGCGGTCCATAGTCATCCACATCTATCCTCGATTACAAATCAAAATGCAGATGCGTTGTCACCCGTGAGGACTAAGATGGAATGCATCGTTTCCAGTAAAAAGGGTCTCCGGTCCGGACACTCACCATACGAAACATAGCAGCATTAAGCTGCTATTTCACGGTGGTATTCTGTGAGAGCGTGGTGCTTCCCCGGTCGAGTCGACCCATTCGTGCTACAACTATACTACTAATATAACTGCAGCATGGCTCTACCACGTAAAAAGCGTGTTAACATAACCTTTAAATGAACGTTCTATAACAGAACGTTCTACATCAGAACATAGAACAGAATATTTTTATTCAATGTAGTTTTACATGGAATTCTTCTTAAAAGTAATTTTACACTTGTATCAGTTGTCTGAAAAATCCCCCTCCTGGGAAGTACCAACTAAAAACCCAGAGGGCCTTTTTTTAAAGTAATGAAATGAAAGGTTTGTATAAAATATAAACTATTTACACAAAATTTATTTTAGAAACTACCATATTCCCAGGGATTACTATCAACCATGTATTCATTTATATTATAACAAGCCTTTTACAGCTTTTGTACATATTAGTATTATGTGATACCATATACTTTTTGTTGTAAGGCAGGTAGCTTTTAAATCTACTGGTTGTCTGGATAATTTACATCTTAAGTAACTATGATAATTATGTCACTATTTATCGAAATCCTCCAGGCCTTTCTGACACATCCCATAGTCGTCGACTCTTACGACATTCACGTGATAAAAAGGATTATCCTACCCCGTCACCATATAGCAAATCCGTTATATAACGAATTAGTACCACATCGGAATGTAGAAAACAATTGGAAGTCAAACATTAGATTGTGATAAAAAATTTCTAATTAAGAATGTTGCAGTTTTTATTTTAAACATTTTTAATCACGGATCGTGAACCATGCAGGTTTTATTCCTAATTCAAAGTTGCTTCTTAAAACTGTAATTTGATATGTTTGTTTTTACTGAGACAAAGTTTTCTCCCACTCACCTCATGGTAAAGCTCAAGGTAAGATAAATCTTCAAATAAAGTCCTAAACGAGTATATCTGAAGGGGAAGAAGCTTAACTTCTTATCATAGTTTAGGTCTAAAACCTTGTAAGGGCTCAGTGGAGAGAATTCGGTTAGGCGCGTATCATATACATTTTCAGTGGCCATCACTGACAATGTAATAAAAGGACGTTGAATTGTTATGCACGCCAAACGATCCGTCCCGCCGATATTCATAAGAAAGTATATATATATATATATATATATATATATATATATATATATATATATATAATTCGTTGTTCTCGAGTGGAAACCACATTTCGACCAACGCATAATGGAGAGACCATTCGATCATACATGAGGGAAGTCAATTTGTGCCCATTGAATTCCTGATTTTAATTTGTATAATAAAAGTAAAAAGTAAAGTTACAGACTATATGCGTCCCACTGCTGGGCACAGTCCTCCTCTCATTTCTGAGAGGGTTTTAAGGCAAGAAAGTGTCCGCCGCGCTGCCCCAATGCGTGTTGGCGAACTTCACATGTCCTCGCAATATTTTTTTCCTTATTCCTCAGACATGCAGGTTTTTTCACGATGTTTTCCTTCAACGCCGAGCACGTGGTAAATCAGCACTTAAAATTTCAATTAACAATTTCATTGGTGCCGGCGGGGCCGATTTGCTCGCGTAGTGTGAAATTTACAGCGAGCGCTAACCATCTGAGCTACGGCTGTTTTAATGTTAATTTGTATAACATTATGATGAAAATCGAGAGTCCATTTAGTCACAGCGACGGTGTTGAAAATGGAAACAGGATATGGGTTATGGGTCATCGCGGAGAATCTTCCTGAGGTTTATGTTCAGCAATCTAAAAAAACATACTAAAATACTATTAATACACAATAAAAGTTTAAATGCTGATAAAACACAGAAAAAAAAAACTAAATACAAATATTTAACGCAGTACATATATTATGTATTGTATACAATTATGTTTAGATTTAAATTTAAATTTAATTAAGCTTTTATAAAATTAATAAAACAAAAAAATAAAATGATATTCACTGAATAAAATAGAATAAACAATATAAACTAAAAGACTAATAAGACTTGATTGAGTGTAATGAATAAATGAATCTAGTTAACAGTACTCCTGATCGTGGTGGTAATTTGCTAATGCAATTCATGGACAAATTCCAATAAAGGATACCTAAGATAGAATGCATAAATTTATACTGACATCTTTTGGATATTGTATAGTTTCGGAAGTACTCTTATCTTGATTGTCGCCAGATTTAGGAGAATAATTACACAGAAATAAATCATGTCCGGGGTTAAAGCATGGAAACATTTTACATATCAGACCCTTTTTACTGGACAGAGGCATTCTATCTTAGTCCTCATTAATGTAAATGAAATGGCTATGGGCCACAGCATCCACTTACCATCAGGTGGACTGTGTGCAAGTTTGTCACCCTTATTCTACAAAAATACTACCATTTAAAAAGAAATAAGCCGCAGGAAAATATAAAGACTGTTTCCACATGAGTGGTAGGAGAACGCTTAAATTTAATAAATCACAATTTAACAACCATAATGATAGTGCTACTTCCTTCCGATCATTCCAATACTTTGCCAACACGTGAAATAAAATTACTGTAGAAATCGAAGGCATACAGACGTTGCTTTTAAAATGGAGAGAAAAGTGAAAACATGAATATAAATGAACACGCTTCTGGCCAAACGATGCGCCGCCGTAACGTTTAGGTGCTGTTACTAATAATTTTAGTATTTCGTGCCTCTACCTAAAGTCAAAATTGCAGCGTCTAACTATCGCGATACAAGTCTGCATATGAAGCTATTGATTGTCGGTTCATTTGCTACAGCCGTAATGATTAAGTACCTTTTTTATATTAGTTAGGGTGATGAAGTGGATCGATAGCAAAAAACAAGAACTCGTGCTGGTTACAAAAAAGGTTTATTGCACTACCAGAGTGAAAAATACAAAATGACTGCTAGATTTTTAAAAGCGCGATGCAAGAGTGCACACAAGTAGTGATTGGGTAACTGGCCGCCAAAATTATAGCGGGGGCATCGCTCGCTCGCATCTACTTTAATATTATAAAATATCTACAAGTCTACCTACACATAAAATGATTTATAAAATAATCGTTAACAAATTATTATACAAATACAAATCATGAGATATAAAAAGTAATAAAATATTACATAAAAACAATGCGTCGCCAACAGGTGACAA